ATATATATATATTTACTTTTGGCTTTTGCGATTTATTCCCCAACTTTATTTCTCCATTTAATTTAATCATTTTCTTGTGCAATTTTGATCCTTTAACGTCTAACTTCGTCCATTTGATCCCTTAAGGGGTCTTCAATCATCACTTCAGGGTCCGGATCAAATATTGGGTGATTCAATTTAGTTCCAAACTTTGTATTTCTTCCTTTTTTTTGTCTGCTTTTTTGCTTTTTTCTTCCAATTCCGTCAAATTGCCACACGTTTTACCTAACATACAATTTTAAAATATAAATAAGCCCCAATTCTTTCCAATTAATTATAATTACTCTCATTTAATAACGAAATAAGTATATAAAAATATACTTATCAGATTCCATTGCTCATAGGATATTAGTGGTGTATTAGTGGCCTTTTCCATAAATATAACAAGCTTTACTAGATTATAAAATTGGAGAATTATTCCATTGACTACCAAATTGGAGAAACTGGTACATTGGATGCACTGACTTTTCTTTATCTTCCAATGTGGAAGTTGTGCAAGTTTTTCTACATATGAAAGTTGCATTCTTCGAATAATCCGAGAAATAACTAGCTTTCATAGACTTCAAAGTCCACTAATACCCCACTTTTTCTAGAATGTAGAATTTTCTTCAGAAAATAAAAGTAGCTTAAATTATGCAAAACTTAAAACTGTAAATTCTCAACGGTTTGTCTTATGTAAGGTTGGATATAGCTTGAATTTATATTAATTATTTATAGAAGAAAGCCTCATTTTATTTATTTATTTATTTTTTTGACTGATGGTTAGCATGAATTTATATTATTAGACTCCATTTTTTCAAAAATAAAGTGAACTTTTGCTTGACTACCAAACCAAGATATTACTTGCATAACTTTTCTTCGTCTTTCGATGTGGAAATTGTGGAAGTTTTTCCTCAAATGAAAGTAATGTTGTTCCAATGATTCAAAAGATATTAACTTTAAGAAACTTCAAAGTCCACTAATACCCCGCTTTTTCTATAATGTAGAATTTTCTTCAGAAAATAAAAGTAGCTTAAATTATGCAAAACTTAAAACTGTAAATTCTCAACGGTTTGTCTTATGTAAGGTTGGATATAGCTTGAATTTATATTAATTATTTATAGAAGAAAGCCTCATTTTATTTATTTATTTATTTTTTTGACTGATGGTTAGCATGAATTTATATTATTAGACTCCATTTTTTCAAAAATAAAGTAAACTTTTGCTTGACTACCAAACCAAGATATTACTTGCATAACTTTTCTTCGTCTTTCAATGTGGAAATTGTGGAAGTTTTTCCTCAAATGAAAGTGATGTTGTTCCAATGATTCAAAAGATATTAACTTTAAGAAACTTCAAAGTCCACTAATACCCCACTTTTTCTAGAATGTAGAATTTTCTTCAGAAAATAAAAGTAGCTTAAATTATGCAAAACTTAAAACTGTAAATTCTCAACGGTTTGTCTTATGTAAGGTTGGATATAGCTTGAATTTATATTAATTATTTATAGAAGAAAGCTTTTTTTTTTTTTTTGACTGATGGTTACCATGAATTTATATTATTAGACTCCATTTTTTTGAAAAATAAAGTGAACTTTTGCTTGAATACCAAACCAAGATATTACTTGCATAAGTTTTCTTCGTCTTTTGATGTGGAAATTGTGGAAGTTTTTCCTCAAATGAAAGTGACGTTGTTCCAGTGATTCAAAAGATATTAACTTTAAGAGACTTCAAAGTCCACTAATACCCCACTTTTTCTAGAATGTAGAATTTTCTTCAGAAAATGAAAGTAGCTTAAATTATGCAAAACTTAAAACTGTAAATTCTCAACGGTTTGTCTTATGTAAGGTTGGATATAGCTTGAATTTATATTAATTATATATAGAAGCAAGCTTTTTTTTTTTTTTTGACTGATGGTTACCATGAATTTATATTATTATACTCCATTTTTTTCAAAAATAAAATGAACTGTGCTTGACTATCAAACCAGAGATATTACTTGCATAACTTTTCTTCGTCTTTCTATGTGGAAATTGTGGAAGTTTTTCCTCAAGTGAAACTGACATTGTTCCAATGATTTGGATTGTTTTATGTAAGGCTAGATATAGCTTGAATTTATAATTATTTACAGAAGAAAGTAATTTATTTATTTGACAGTCACAAGAAAGGTTTTATCATTAATAAGAAACTTAATTTATATTATTTAGCTTAGTGAAAAGAAGTTTGATAGAAGTGTTTAATATTGCTTATCAGACCCCCTTATGAATAGAGCAAGAAAATTGCAAGATGAAATAAATTAATCGCAAACAATGACATCAAGATTTTCAATGGAAATTCATGATGGGTAGAAGAGGAGAATTCACTAGATCAAAAATTCAGATCAATGATTGTTGTTACGAGATTTGACGCATTTTCATACAAATCTAATCTTTTTCTAATGATATGAAGAGTTATAAGTCGCTGAATATATATACAACCCCTAAAACAATATTTGAATTTTTTTCCTCAAATGAAAATTGCATTATTCTAATAATCCAAAAGAATTTATTAACTTTAAGAGACATCAAACTCCACTAATGCTCCATATTTTCTAGAAGAACGTGGAGATTTTATTAAGATAAAAATAGGTTAAAATGTGCAAATCTAAAATTGCAAATTGTAAACGATTTGTCTTATATAAGGCTAGATATAACTTGAATTTTCATTTGTAGAAGAAAGATTTTTATCGTTACTAAGAACCTAAATTTGAATTGTTTTGCACAGTGCATATAAGTTCGATAGAAGTGTTCAATATTGCTTATAAAGCATTTTTAAAACTTAAAAAACTTGTTGCACGCATGCGCTTATAAAGCATTTTTAAAACTTAAAAACTTGTTGCGCGCGATATATATTCAAATATATGTTCTTAGTAATGATAAAAACATTTCTTCTACAAATGAAAACTCAAGCTATATCTAGCCTTACATAACACAACCTGTTTAGGATTTGCAGTTTATGATTTGCACATTTTAAGCTACTTTTATCTTCTTAATAAAATCTCCACATTCTACTAGAAAATATGGGGCATTAGTGGAGTTTGAAGTTTCTAAGTTAATAAATTCTTTTGGATTATTAGTAGAAGAATGCAATTTTCATTTGTGGAAAACCTTTCACAATTTCCACAATGAAAGATACCGCATCCAATGGAATCATTTCTCGGGTTTGATAATCAAGCCAAATTTGTTTTATTTATGGGAAAAGTGGAGTGCATAATGGTGTGACGGGCACCACTCCTATATATTGTTGAAACTAACTTGTGGTGTGGGATAATGAATTTTAAATTGAATAAACAATTAAAAAACTTAAACAAGACTACTTAATCAACGTTTGTTGAACGCCAACCATAAATATCAAAAATATTTAATATATTCATTTTTCTTGACTAAGATAGTCATACCAACTGTCGATTGCCGTATGGAAAATGCTGCCAAAAGCTATTGGAAAATTAGTGAAAAGACCAATGATCATAAGTATTTGTGCTTTATCTATATCTATATATTGTGAGTTGAACTAAGTAAAAAGTAGCAGAAAACTTTTATACACACACATTTATCAAACTCATCGTTGCAAACCCATTTTAAATTAACCATGAGAAAGAATGTCATGTTTACGTTGCTGGCAATTCTTTACTTGCTTATGAACATTGTTTCATCTATAAATAGTTCCACTGATGAGTATTCTCTTCTAGCCTTCAAATCTCAAATAACATTTGATCCAAATAAAATATTAACTAACAATTGGTCTCAGGGAACCTCGTTCTGCAACTGGATTGGCATTACCTGTGGCAGGAGACATCAAAGAGTTAGGGTCTTGAATCTAGCAAATATGGGTATAGAAGCTATTATTGCTAAAGAAATCGGAGAACTCTCTTTTTTGAGATCTTTGATTATTAGAAATAATAGTTTCCATGGATTTATCCCCTCCACAATTGGTAACTTAAGTCAGCTTCGAGAAATAGAGATGCAGGAGAATGAGCTAAATGGTCCTATTCCAACAAGTTTTGGATTTCTTGAAAATCTACAGACGTTAAATATCTCCTATAATGGACTCACCGGAAATATTCCTAACATGATTTTCAACCTCTCTTCTCTTATTGAAATTAGTTTTGTAAACAATAGTCTCTCAGGAAGTCTACCTATGGATATTTGCTACAATCTTCAAAAGCTAGAGAGGCTAAGAGTCTCAGGGAATCAATTAAGTGGCGACATTCCTCCAAACTTGGGAACATGCACAAATTTGGAACTGCTTTCACTGTCATACAATCATTTTTCTGGAAGAATTCCAATGGAAATTGGGAACTTATCAAATCTTCAAGTTCTCTATCTAGGTGGAAATAATTTGACAGGTACTTTTAAAGTATTGTTCGTGTAAATATATCTCTCAATTCACTAGATAATATTTTCCAATTTTTTTTTTTCAATAGACCAATATTGTTATCACTTCAAATCATAAAACATCTCTTACGTGCATATTGATCCGTCTGTTAATGCCCATGGATTATGTCCTTTTACATAGATGCTTTAAAAGTTATGTATGTACTTACACCTGAAAGCTCCATTGTGCATTCTGAAACCCACACAAAAAATAAATAAATAAATAAATAAAAATAAATAAATAAATTGGCCCATAATTTTTTAATGCAAAAGCTTGTGAAAAAGTCGACTACCAAAAGTTATTTAAAGAATTAAATATGTCATCACACCATTTAAAAAAAAAAAAGAAAAAAGAAAAAAAAGAGAGATGCAATATTCAATATGATTTGACGGTACAATGAATAAAATCAGCTTTGAGAAATGTGTCTCATCATTTGTAGCATTTTCCAAATATTTATTAGAGATACATCATAATAGCATCAAATCCTACTTACCCAATGAGCTTGGGATGAAGATGGACACTGCTTGTGGCTAGCATCATTACAATATTGGTCCGTATTTTATAATCTTTTCATTACTAATTAGATTTAGATTTCTATTTTATTTTAATTTTTTTAGTTTGAGGACCTAGGATGCAATTTCAGTAAAGAATAGTCTAAATTCAGTTGACAAAAAAATATATGCTGATGGAAAATCTAAATGGCTAATGTTTTTCAGCATGTACAACATTTTCCAAATAATATTCGAAATACAACATGCAACAATAACTTCAAAGCTACTTAGTTATCGAAATTAAACTAGTTTGTACTTCTCCTCTTTAATTAAGTCTATTTTGCGTTAATTTAACACTTGATGTTTTAATGTATAAATGGATTGGCAGGAAACATTCCAAATGAAATTGGAAACATGTTAGCACTTGCAAAACTAGGTTTGGAGCGCAACGATTTTAGTGGTAAGTAACTAGATGTCCCAAACTTATTTTATATATTAAGTCAAGAGTTCTAAAAAGCACAATGCATGGATACACGGCAAGGTCAAACTTCCTACTTCTATGAGCCTAAACGGGCAAGGTGTAAAAAAAGTATAAAGTGTGTCTACGGCAAGACCCAACATTGTGCTTTAGAACGCTAATTAAATCAGTTTCGATTTGTTTATTTAGTGACCTTCATAGGTTTGTACCAAAACAATAAATTTAAAATTGTCATTTATAACATAGATTTTTAAGCTGTGGGATATTAAATGAACTTTAAGTTACCACTAGGCATTTTACACTTCTTTGACAAATGTTTTGGCATTTATGACGTTTTCCTAATTATTATTAGAAATACAACATGCAACAATAAACTTCATAGGAACTTAATTATCGACTTCAAATTAGTTGGTACTTCTCTTTAATTAGATCTATTTTATGTTAATTTAATATTTGGTATTCTAAAATCTTTATGTTTAAATGGATTGGCAGGAAATATTCAAATTGAAATACGAAATCTATCAGCACTTACATATTTAGCTCTGAGTCACAATGGTTTCAGCGGTATGTAACTAAATCTCCTAAATATATTTTACGTATTAAATCTAATGTTCTATAAAACTTAAGGTGTGGCTAGACGTCAATGTCAAGCTTCATGTTTTTACGAGCCTAAACGGACTATGCCTAAAAATGTGTGAAGCGTGACTAGGGTACAAAGATTAGTTTATTGCCTAATGTACTCTTTAGAATACTAATTAATTCTATTTCAATCAATGTCAAGGAAAAGATTTATACCAACGTTCTAAATTTAAAATTTGTTCTAGAACAAAGAACTTTTTGTTGATCAAAAATCTAAATGAACCACCTAGGCATTTTACACTCTTTTGCCAGATGTGTTTCAACTTATACAGCATTTTTCAAATAATTATTAGAAATAAATCGTAATAAATTCTCCCTGCCCATTCGGCTTGAGAAGAAGATGGATACCGCTAGTGGCTAGCCTCCTTATCATATTATTCGTTTCTTTGTTAGCTGCAAATTTGAGTTTTGTACATTGGAGTATTCTGATTAAACGTTATAAAAGGTGTGAGAGTTTTTCTTTTATAATATTTGATCTCAAAGGTTTTATTTAGTATCAACAATTTGTCCGACGTTGATTAATTATTCGATATTCCATTGCTAATCAACGAGTTAGTTATTTTACAGGTTCGCAGACATTCTAAGAAGGGTAATTAGCACAAAACATCCCTACCTTTCGATGTTTTTGTGGAAAACGTTTCTACCTTTCATTTTTTGACGGATTACACCCTTACCTTTACCTTTTTTTGCTAAAAACGTCCTTCTATCAACTCTCCGTTAAAATACTCCGTTAAATCAAAAAGGTAATTAGCACAAAAAGTCCCTACCTTTCAAAGTTATTGTGCAAAACGTCCCTATCTTTTATTTTTTAGCATAATTAGCAGAAAAGGTCCCTACCTTTCAATATTATTGTGCAAAATGTCCCTACCTTTCATTTTTAGCATTTTTACCCCTACATTTCACCTTTCATTGCGCAAAAGGTCATTTTCATCCATTTTTTCAATAAAATGACGATTTTACCCTCCTATTGAAATAAAACAAAAAGAAAAGAAAAAAATAATTAATTAATTGCAATCATAGTTCTAAATCTTTCAAAACATTACAGATAAATCCTAACTTCTCCACTATCGCCACTTTCACAACCCCACCAAGCCACCACCTATAGATCCATATAGCACCACTTTTCGACCACAACACATATCGGACTCCACCACCACCAGTGTCGCCTCACTCTCCCCAATATCCTCCTCCATAGTATTGGTCACCAATCTGTCCGAAACAACTACATTTACGGTGGTGGAGTCCAGTGGGCATGGTGGCCGAAAGGTGGTATTATGTGGATTTATAGTTGGCAGCTTGATAGGTTGTGAAAATGGTGGTGGTTGAGAATTTATGATTTATCTGTAATGTTTTGAAAGATTTAGAACTATGATTGCAATTAATTAATTAATTTTTTCTTTTCTTTTTGTTTTATTTCAATAGGAGGGTAAAATCGTCATTTTATTGAAAAAATGGATGAAAATGATATTTTGCACAATGAAAGGTGAAATGTAGGGGTAAAAATGCTAAAAATGAAAGGTAAGGACGTTTTGCACAATAATATTGAAAGGTAGGGACCTTTTCTGCTAATTATGCTAAAAAAAAATAAAAGGTAGGGACGTTTTGCACAATAACTTTGAAAGGTAGGGACCTTTTGTGCTAATTACCTTTTTGATTTAACGGAGCATTTTAACGGAGAGTTGACAGAAGGACGTTTTGCGCAAAAAAAGGTAAAGGTAAGGGTGCAATCCGCCAAAAAATGAAAGGTAGGGACGTTTTCCACAAAAACGTCGAAAGGTAAGGATGTTTTGTGCTAATTACCCTTCTAAGAATTAACGTGATTTTAGATTTATTCTTTATTATCATATGTTGTTTCTTTTTCCCTTCATCACCTTGTTTACTAAATAATTCAATATTCTAAATTAATTCCTAGACTTGACATTCTAAAGTCATATTTAGAATGACAAATCTAGGAATTAAGTTTAACTGATCTCTTTAATTTCAGTATTAACATTTTGAAATTTTTGTCCTAAAATGTATTCATAGGAAGCATTCCGAATGGATTTGGAAACTCATCAGCACTTCAATATTTATATTTGAATTGGAATATCTTAACAGGTACCCAATCTATTATTTATTAGTTTCATTATATCGAGTGCACTGACAAACACCATAACACAGGTATAATTCCACGTTCAATTGCTAGTTTATCAAATCTGAAGGATTTGGTCGTCGGTTATAACAGTCTTCTTGGAAATATCCCACGAGAATTGGGACTTCTATCAAGTTTGGAATTGTTAGATTTTTCCGTCAACAATCTTCAGGGAAACATCCCACAAGAATTGGGACGTCTATCCAATTTAAAAAGGTTAGGTTTGTCCATCAACAATCTTCAGGGTCACATACCTGATTCTATCTTCAACCTCTCCATGTTACGAATACTTTCTCTTTCTGAGAATAGTCTATCCGGCAATCTTCCATCGTCAATTGCCAATGGGCTTCCCAATCTTGAAGTTCTCTATCTTGGTGGCAATGGATTGAGTGGAAAAATTCCTGCCTCTATTTCAAATATTTCTAAGCTTACTGTTTTGGATCTTGCTAACAACTCCTTAAGCGGACAAGTACCCATGAATCTTGGGAATTTACAGAACCTACAGATTCTAAATCTAATGGGTAATAAGTTAACAAATGATCCTTCAATGCTGGAATTGGATTTTCTTACTTCATTGCAAAATTGTCGGAAGTTGAAGAGTATAAGAGTGGGATTAAATTCTTTTCACGGAATATTACCCAAATCCTTGGGTAATTTGTCATCATCTGTTGAGAGTTTTGAAGCCAGTTTTTGTGGTATTAAAGGCATCATTCCTAATGAATTTGGTAATATGAGCAACTTGTTCGATTTAGACATTGGAGGTAATAAATTGACAGGAACAATTCCTAAAATATTGGGTCAATTAAGAAAATTGCAAAAGCTTAGACTTGATGCCAATAAACTTCAGGGGTCAGTACCTGTCAACCTTTGTAATTTGGAAAATCTGTATTATCTAGATTTGAGTATCAATCAGCTCTCTCAACAGCTACCAACGTGTTTAGGGCATCTTACCTTTTTACGAGAAATTTATTTAGATGACAATTCATTGACTTCCACTATCCCATCCACGTTGTGGAGTAACAAGGAAATTCAGATTTTGAGTTTCACTAATAATTTGCTGAACGGGTCGCTGGCTCCCGAAATTGGAAGCATTGAGGGCATGCGAGAGTTATATCTATCGGGAAATCAATTCTCAGGTGATATTCCAAGCACTATAGGACAACTTCTGAGTTTGGAAAATCTATCATTATCAAACAATCGATTACATGGTCCTATACCTGATTCATTCGGTAATCTTATGTCATTGAAAACATTGGATTTATCCAAGAACAAACTCAATGGTGTAATCCCCAAGTCATTGGAGAAACTTGAGTACCTTAAGTATTTCAATGTTTCGTTCAATGAACTCAATGGTGAAATTCCAAATGGAGGGCCTTTTAAGTACTTCACGGTAGATTTTTTCATGGGCAATAGAGAATTGTGTGGAGCATCTCATTTTAAGGTCAAGCCATGTGAACATAATACAACAAGAATATCAAGCAAAACTAGAGTTTTGAAGTATATTTTACCATCAATTGCCGTGGTATTTATTTTGGCCATTGCTGTGGTTTATTTAATAAGAGGCCATAGCAGAAATAGACTTCTTCCAGCTCTTTCTACTTTTGCAATCACTGTCAAGAGGATTTCATATTATGAAGTTCTAAATGCTACCAATAAATTTAGTGAAGAGAATTTGATTGGCGAAGGCAGTATTGGTTCAGTGTATAAGGGAACATTTTCAAATGGAATGATTGCTGCTATTAAGGTTTTTAATCTGGACTTGGAAGGTGCAAACCAAAGTTTTGAAACTGAGTGCCAAATGCTTTGCAACATTCGTCACAGAAATCTTGTCAAGGTAATTAGTAGTTGCTCTAACCTTGATCTTAAAGCCTTGGTGTTGGAATATATGCCTAATGGAAACCTTACCAAATGGCTATCTTCGAACAACTATTTCCTAAATTTAGCTCAACGATTGGAAATAATGATAGATGTGGCATCTGCACTAGAGTATCTACATCATGGGTATCCCTCTCCGATTGTCCATTGTGATTTGAAGCCCAGCAACATACTTTTAGATGAAAATATGGTTGCTCATGTTGCAGACTTTGGCATTGCCAAGCTTTTCACTAAAGACCAGAGAATTTCAATTACCAAGACATTGGGCACCATTGGATATATGGCTCCAGGTAAATGGTTTTATCATCTACTTATGTATAGAGTTGTGCATGCTAATAGTGTAATGGCCATGTACTACTTATTAGTTCTTATTTATTTGTTCATCATTTAACATTTCACTAGCTAATCTGATCGCATGTCCCAATTTTTTAGAGTATGGATCCACTGGATTAGTATCAACTATGGCGGACGTTTATAGTTATGGAATTATGCTGATGGAAACACTTACCAAGAAGAAACCAACAGATGATATGTTTGTTGGAGAGTTCACAATAAGGAAATGGGTGAATGAATCATTCCCAGATGCAATAATGCAGATAGTGGATGTCGATTTAGTGAATGCTGCAGAAGACAATATTCGAGCTAAGGAGAGCTGCTTATTAATCATGGAACTGGCACTAGAATGCACAACCGATTTGCCCGAGGAGAGGCTCATTGCTAAAGATATTCTAACAAGGCTTAAGAAGATCAAACACAATTTTGTCAAAGCATAGCTAAGGTGGAACAAGATAAAAGGATTGGTTCTTAATGAGAACACAAAAAAAAAAAAAAAAAATTGATTATTTAATCAAAATCTATTTTCTATTTCACAATTAATTTTAAAGCTTATTGTATATTGGCATTTCAGGAAACTTTGTATCACTCTTCAGATTTTAAACTCCGTTGGCTTCCAGTGTGTTGTAGCTGTTTTGTGGACCCAAAATCCATAATTAGACAACATTTCTGGTTAATCTAGTGCAAGATGTAGTGGCGTAAGAAAATATTTTGGTTCCAAAAAATAATCTTTATTAGGATTTAGGTGAGAATATTGTTAATACAAAGAAGCAGCAAATTATTTGTACAAAAAAACCAAAATGAAGCTTTTTTGAAGTATACAAATTAAAAATAATAATTTAAGATAATGAATGTTGAAATAATATACCTGAAATTTCCAATAATAGTAAGAAAGGCAAGGAAACAAGATGGTAATGATGCAATTCTGGAAACTAAAATGATGCATAATTTTATGAACTATAGTCAGTAATGAAGATACATAGAACAGTATTCAGAGTACTAAGGAATAAAATGAATTTAAAATTTATTATTTCGTACTCTGTGGCTTAACCCATCTCGGGCCCTGGATGAGGGGATTAACCCATCTCATTAACTTGACGACCTTCACCACGATCATCTAGCTCATCTCCTGCACCAGATGGCACTTTATCACCACTAGAATCATCAAGCCCATTCACTTGCTCATGTCCACAAGTCATAATCTTAAACTGTAACCAATTAAAAATTAACTGATAGCTGATTCTTTGCAAAAGATAAAGTTGATCTCAATAGGAAGCCTGACTAAATTTTTACCCAGTGCATGAATATATAATTTTATTCGTAATTTCCTTTGACTTCATGTTTGTCAACAATGAAGTTAAAGGAAAGCTGTATTGATTCTGACTTCTGATATTCCCTTTTCCAGTGGATTATGTGATGTTTGAAAAGTACTTTCATTTTTGGTCATTGAGCTTCAATTTATTTTCGATGTTAGTCATTATGTTAGCTCATATTTCTAAATTTTGACGCCATGATAGTACGTGAACATCAAAAATTGACAACAATCTTAATATGTTTAACATTTTCAGCCAATTTTGTTGCTTACTAATTTCTTGGCTGCAAAAATTGAAAATAAACTCTTGTTTGAGCTCCATTTTGGGAAAAAGAATCTATTTTGAAATAGTATGTTTTGAAGAATAGGTGATTAAAATATTCGAAAAAGTTCATTAAATTATTCTATTAGAGAATGTGTGGATAAAAATGAGTTTATAATAAAATGGGGCTCAAATAAGGGCTAAATAGTGTTCAAAAAATGGTAATTTATCCCCTATGTTAGAACTTTGCACGTTGTGGCATATTTATCTATGGGGACTAACTAATGATTGAGACATTAAGTTTAGCGCCTGTTTAGTTTTAATACTAGATTTTGATTAGATTCTAATAAAAGTTCACGAGACCCAACACATTATAATCTCAAAAAGCTTATTCAAACAGGGTAGAATTTTGGACTTTTAGCAACAACCTAACACAGTAAAAACAACACAAAAAGAAGTGAAAACAATAAATACCATACGAAACCCACCGGGATCTTCAGTTCCTTAACGAAATATGCTCAGATTAACACAGCACAGTCATTTGCACTACATGTCCACCAAAAAGAATATATAGAAACAATGAAAACTCATTTTACTCAGAATACATTCGAAATTTCCAGATTACCCGAACAACCATTTTACTTGCTAACATATTTTTCGGGCGTAAAAAGCAGTAGACTACGGAAAAAACACTTGATCATAATACGAAGAGCCTTTTGTTTGCTACATACTCATTAACACAACTACGAGTACGATACATTGTAGTGATAATCTCATCCCAGCAGGATGTGGAAAACTGATACTAGCTTGTCTCTGAACATGCTAGAAATCGGTGGTAGATCAATTCAAGTGATGCTCCAGCCAACTGTAATCAGGGGAATTTGATGTTAAATAATCAATAACCGTTTGCAGTACTCGTACACAAGTTGTTTTAGGCTTCGTTTAGTTTGAAGGTAACGAAGGGTTTCTATTGACACACTAAAAATGTAGCCCAAATTGAATAACCCAAAGAATGAAGCCCAACTGGGCAATTCAGGATAAAAGGCTCGAATAGAGTTATCAATGAATGCAGTGGAAGCCCATGAATATGGTAACACCATTGCCCAAACTTGTAAGACGCCCAAGATCTGAGCGAATGAAGTGCCTTGCAGTCGCCCAGAGTTATGACCCTGTTCTCGCCCAAACCTTCGAATCGCTCAGGATCTTAGTAAACATAAGATGTTATGGCTATCCAAAAGTGCAGTTATCGAAGCACTTATTAAGTAATCTTATCACGTTCCAAAATTCAAGGATGTACAGTTGAAGACGATTGAACGACAAAGAGTAGTGACAGCAGTTAGAGACGGCAGTTCCACGATAAATTGGCCACTATGAAGAAAGTGGGCAGTTATAAAGCAATTAAACGGTTTCTAAGCGGTTGATCACGAAGAGATCATCAAGAGAATATACAAGGAAGAAAAGACATAGAGCAAAGACCCCGAATCAAACACTCTCAAACAGAGAATATGTAATTTCAATTCCTTAGTTTAGACTTAAAATATTTCTTTTTAGTACTCGTGTATTTGCGCCCCTTGGAAGTATTCTGTTTAAAGTTCCAATTGTAAAGTCATCACCAATAAAACACCCCTTTTTGGGACTTTATCTCAAGAGGTTTATTCCTTACACACTATCCCTTTTTAATTGTTAGGGACAACCCGGGCGAAACAATTTGGCACGCCTAGTGGGACCTTGGTAATTGGTGTTGAAGATACAAAAGGTGAAACAATATGCCTCAGAAATTCGATAAGGAAGCAGCAAGCCAGAGAGGAGTCCAGTCTGTAATCGAGCGATATGAGCAGCAGCATAGCTCTCCAGGAACAGATGGACAGAATCAGAGCAATCATAGTCGTTACGAACCAGTGACAGAGTTGAGTCCTCGAACCATACATGCATTACTCGGAGAACTCACACAAGATATTGTTGAATAGATAAATCTACAAAATATTCATAATATGAAAAGATTTACCCAGAATGGGAATACACATTATGACAACATGACCAAAAAATCGAATACTTTGAATGAAATAATGAATAAGTTAGTAGGCCAAATTTCTCAGCCAGTTGTGCCTCTTGCAAGCCACTTTCAAACTAGGACAATTGTGGGACATAATCCCCCAGTCCTAAGTTCAAATCAAGGGGAAGAACCACCTTTTGATCCCTCTACTTCAAACCAGGGGTGGTGTAATACCAAATCAGAATAATGGCATTGGTACATCTAACATGGGGGGTAACCTAAATGTAAGAAATAATGTCCTAAATAATGGGCAGAATACCCCACGTGTTAATGATGGAATAAATATTCAGGCTAATGATAACAATGGCCTAAATCATGGTAACTTTGTTGCCAATCAAGGACCAGACATCAGGCCTCAAGCAAATCAACTGGTCAACCAACCTGTAGGAATTTCATATGACCCCAGCGTCATGTTGAGGAATTAGATTATAGAAATCATACAGGACCAGATGGCTTTTGGAGTACGTCCTGTCATTAGGCCGATTTACACAAAGTCGTATCCTGATTGGGTAGACCAAGCATATCTATGGCGTAGAGGGTACAAAGTGCCAGAATTCTCATTGTTTACTGGTTTAGGAGAGGTGTCTATTCTAGAACACATAGGGAGATTCACACTGCAAAGTGATGACGTAACTGATTACCATAAAATGAGACTGTTCCCTAGTTCATTAACAGGAGTAGCCTTCTCCTAGTTCATCAATTTGCCAGCAAACTCTATTCAAACATGGCAACAATTGGAGCAATTATTCCAAGCTCAGTTTTATAAGACTGAGTCTGAAGTTACTTTGGCCGATTTGGCGAATCTATGTCAAATGCCAAACGAATGGGCAGAAGGTTTCCTTCAAAGGTTCAAGACAGCAAGAAGTAAATGTTTTGTACCTTTACTCGAAAAGGAGTTTGTCAAAATTGTTCAAGGTTGTCTAAGCTTTGATTTGAAGAAGAAGTTCCAAGACAAGGAATTTTCTGATCTTTTCCAATTGAGTACGAATGTGATTAGGTATGAACGATTAATAAGAGAAGAAGAACAAATGAAAAATTCTAGCAAAGGGACTTATTATAGAGACCCAAATTTTGATGTTCATATCATTAATGATGAGTATTATGATCAAACCGAAATGTGTTTAACCGAATTAGTTAAAGGAGACACATATACTTGTCCTATAATGGATAAGCCTAGACCATCGGGTAAAGATGAACCTATAAAAGATGAAAACATAAAGGTTAGAACGTTCTCGTCCGATATAACCAAAGCTAACCTTATATTTGATAAATTATATAAGGATAAGCAGATAAAGCTGAGCGATAAACATAAATTGTCAAGCCCTGGACAAATTAAGGGTAAAAAATATTGTAAGTGGCATAATGCATGGTCACATTTGACTAACAACTGTTTGGTTTTTCGCCACGTGTTACAGAATGTCATTGAATCAGGACGAATTACGTTCAAGGATAAGAAGACGATGGCAGTGGATGAAAATCCTTTTCTACAGCGACTTGGAGTGAACATGGTGACGTCTGGTTTCAAAAACAAGTTGCCAAAATTCAAGCTAGTTATAGATGATGAAGAAGAAGAAGTTGGACCACATCCCAGCGTCTTTGAACGTATCAAATGGAAGGAGCCCAAAAAGGACGAAGATGTCCTATGTACAAGATGCAAAGAAGAAGTGAGTGCAAATGCAGAGAAACCAGGGATATGGTAGCATCACCATCGCCCTAGTTTTTTCCCAAACGCTCAGCCTGGTAGAGGACGGGGTACATCGTTCTATGAGGGACCGCCTTTTGAGAGGCAGTTCAGGCTAGTAAATAATGGGAGAACATTTAGACCGCAACCTCGCCAACCAAATGTATGGCATTCGTTCCAGTATAAGGCTGGAAGGGCGATACCTTTCAACGAGATAAATAGGACCCAACAGAGGTGTTTTCAACGAAATCATGGGCGAATGATGAGGCAACAACAGGGAATGCTATGTCCTAAGGCATCTAGGCTACTCG